ACATGTATGAACTACTGCATGGATCCACAGAATGCCAGACTCCAAGATCATTTCCATAGTCCATATTCTGTAGTGTTAATCCATAAATGAGAAAACATTGTGAATATGTATCAACTGAGAAAACTACCAGCTAATGAAGAAATTGAGTTTATGAAACCAAGCCCCTCGGTTCTTCTTTAGTTTGGACCCCAAAATCATTCAAGCCTCACTATAGAGTGGGGAGGCAATGGGCTGGTCACCCAGGCTTATGTGCTGAACATTTGGCACCCTGAAGGAATGGGGCAGCCCACAGGCGCCATCTTGTGGCCACTGTGAGCAAGTGCCCCGCCACCCTGTCCAAAAGGCATGACACCTACATTTCCTGGGCAGTGTGGCTGTGACAGATCACATTCCTTCACAATTACAAATAGGTTTGCAAAGAGCTCGGATCCTGAGTTTTAAGGCAGATGATCTATGTAGATGTATAACTTTATCCATAAACATCCAACAGCCAAAGAGCTGATGGAGGGTCTCTAGAGGGGGAGATGCCAGCTTTCTGGAAAGTGGGGGTGTCCCAGTGGCCACCAGCTGCCCTTTCCTTTGTTGCATGGAAGGCAATCAAGCTAAGATGCTCCTTAGTCTTTCCCTCCCTCTCTCCAGGTATTTATGCTTTTTAAACAGTTCTAATTTCATATTCTTTCTGCAAATATGATCATTAGAGCCTGTGATGGACACCTGGCAGTTTGGGGGCAGCCTGGCATTGGTAGGGGAAAGCATTTTTTTTTTTTTTTGCCTTAAACATTTCTATAAAGTTACCAAAGAATCCAAAGGGAGAGTCTCTACTGGGGGGTAGAATTGGACATACAAGCATCAGGAAGGGGAGAAGGAAGTATTTATCTTTTTATAGTTTTGGATTTTGACTCATATGTAAATAATACTCATAAGGAAATTTTAAAAAATTAAAATTAGAAACAAAAAAAATTAAGCAAACCCAACCTGGGAATTTCTTCACTTTCTCTCCCAAACTAGGGGTATGTAGAATGCAGGGCCTCATGCTAGACCAGTGCTCTACCACTGAGCTATATCCCCAGCCCTTTCTATTTTTTTAATTTTTTTTTTAAATTTTTGAGACAGGATCTCACTAAGCTGCTTGATCAGCTTGACCCTCAACATTATGATTCTCCTGTTTTGCCTTCTGGAATAGCTGGATTACAGGTGTGCATCACCACATCTGGCCAATTTATGCATTTTAATGGATGAATATATGCCATTTACTTCTGTTTAAACTTTTCCTGTATTCTAATTGCTTTTGTTTGCTTACCAGTTTTCTTCTTCTTTCTTTCTTTCTCTCTCTTTTTTTTTTTTTTTTTGGTACTAGAGATTGAACCTAGGGGTGCTCAACCACTGAACCACATCCCCAGTCCGTTTTATATTTCGAGACAGGATCTTGCTAAGT